GGGGGTCCCGGACGGCAAGAGGGCGCAGGCCGGTCTGAGGGACCCCCCCTTCCCCCTGAGTGCATAAATTTTTGTGCACCCGGCCTCTAGTATATATGTAAAAGCCTAAGCAACCGTTCGACCGACTGGTGCTATGATGCACACTGACCACCAGGGGGCAGATGCTCAATGCACAGGCATGGAAACATAGAACAGACTGATGAATCTCAGAGGAAAGGAGAGAGGGAGGAGGTCAGGAAGAGATTAACCAAAGATCTTATATGCATACTAAAGGCCTAGTATGCAGATTCGTGCACCCGTGGGGTCCCTCGGCCTGCCTGCGGAGATTGGGCTGAAACCAGCAGTCCGACATCCCCTGAGGGGTCCTGGATTATGAGAGGGCACAGGCCTCTAATGAATGAATAAAAGAAAGCTGAATCTTAACCACATAAAATTCTACCTCCTCCCCCACTGAATACAAACTTTCTCCAAATGCATCTCCTCTCTTGTCTTCCAACTGGTGCTTTTCCTCCTTTCGGTGCCTGGAGTGTGTAAACTTGTTACCTTCCTCTATGCAAAAACCCACTAAAAACAGGCCTGTCTGTGATCAGGCTGAGCCTAAACTGCAGGAGCAAAGCCTGGTACATACGGAGCTCTTGCTAAAGAAGAGCAGTGATGGTGTTGTAGGACCCTTCAACACTCAGAAGAGGGCAGGATGGAATCCAGACAGCTAGAGCCCACCATTAAACTATATTTAGGGCCCGGGATCAGCAGAGGTGGGGGTGGCACACCAGGAGGCCAGCATCGCTTGTTCTTGCTGGCTGAGACCTGCCCTGTGTCTCTGGGACTTTCCCATTGTCTGTCTTTGCACTCCTGGAACAGGCTGTGCTCAAAGATGGGTGGATGTTGGGTGTTTACTGCCACAGCTGGGACACTTGCAGATGGTTTCAGAAGAGAACTTAATCTCATCTGCTCTTTATTCCTCAAGAAATGAAGCTTTCTGAAATTGGCAGCATCCTTGACATTAATAATAAATTCATTATTTATCCACATGATCCTTGGACCCTCCAAATCCACAAG